TCAGCTGACTAGCAACCTTAATTCCATCTGCAACCTTAATTGCCCCTTGCCATATGTAACATAACATATGGACAGGTTCTAGGGATAAGGACATAAACATCTTTGGGGGAGGCATTAATCTGCCTACCACAGCCACTAAATCAGAATTTCTATGAGTGTGACTCAGAAATCTACATTTTTTTTTTTTTTTGTCTTTTTTTCGTGACCGGTAAGGGGATCGCAACCCTTGGTGTGGTGTCGCATGCACCGCTCTCAGCCAGTGAGCGCACCAGCCAGTCCTATATAGGATCCGAACCCGCAGGCGGGAGCGTCACTGCGCTCCCAGCGCCGCACTCTCCCAAGTGCGCCACGGGCCGGCCCCACAATGATCTTTTTAATACGCAAATCTATTATGTAATTCCTCTGCCCCATACTTTCCAATGGCTTCTTTTGAACAATTCCCAACCCTTTACTCTCTCTCAGAAGTCCCGCCTGCCTCTCTTACTTTCGCTCATACCACTCTCACCCACTGTGTTGTAACCACACTTTAAGATCTCTGCACCAGCTGTTCATTCTGTCTGAGTCAGGCATGGTTTTACCTTTTATACCATGCTGCTCTTTCTCCAGAAGGGTTTGCATGTAGATATTTAGTAATTTTACTTTTTATTATAGATTTCATGAGCTCATTCAGTGTGAAATAGTCACTGGCCTACCTGTATGCTTCAGTATCACCTTCAGTTGACTGAATAAAATTGATGTGCTCATTTTGTACTTTACAGTTTTCAATAATTCCCATAATCCTCTGCTACATAAGATTGTTAAGGATTAAGGAAATTGGTTCTGTAATTATACTATTGTCTTAATTAGTTTCTACTTGTTCTTTAGGGTAGTTTGCAAAATCCTCTGGGTCTGCAATTTCAGTGTGAAGATGGCACAGTCAGTTCCTAATGAACCCCTCCTTGTAATTACTTGTGATTTGAAGAATGACCTCTAGGACATTGAAATTAGCTATTTTAGGGAAGAATCGCTATCTATGGGAAAGTGAGGCAGATTTTTAGAAGGAATGCTTTCTATGATGGAAATGATTAAGAGGGACAAAAGAGGAAGAATGGCATATTGAATACTGAAGTCTTTTTTCTTAAATATGAAACAAAGCAGCTGTTCTGTATAGTACCTTTTCTTCCTACTGTGATTCACTTTTGTGAATAAGCCACATTGGTAACACCTAGTTTTTTGTTTTGTTTTAAAAGCTATGTGAAGACTCAGTCCCTTTTATTTTAACTTTACTGCTTTATTTAGTTTATAGTAAATCTTTTCTTTTCAGGCACATTTTACGATATGGGATAAATTATTGGAGAGATCTCGGAAAATGGTAAGTGTTCTTGACAGATAATGACTATTCTATGAAGAAATTTTCATTGAAATTAAGCAACAGCAACCAAAGAGGGGGGTAAAAAAAGAAACAAAGAAAGAGAAAAAGTAATATGTTGTCTCAATAGCCAAAGCAAATTTGTGATTATTTACACCAGTAGTATTTTGGCAGGAGTAAAGTTGTAATTTGGCAGTTCTCTTATTTTTATTTCTTAATATTGTGGAACTGATACAGTAACTTGAAGAGAAATAGCACCATTACTGTATAGCATCAAAGGATCTTAATAGTTGTAATGGTATTAATTTGATCTTATGATTTTTTTTTGGTAAGCTTAATTAACATTTAAAGGATTAGAATTTGTCAGATATATCTTAAGGGTGTTTTGACTGTTAACATTAAATGTGCAAATGTCCTGAAAAACCAGATTTTCTTTAGTGTATTCTGTCATTCGCATTTAGATTTCACAAGAAAGAGTGATTATATTTCTTGTCCACAACTATCCCTGTTCACTATTTCATAGGCTAATTGTTCCTCATTGACTTATGTTATCTGATAGTTGTCTTGTGTAATCTAGCCTCATGAGCCCTTCCTACTACTCTACAAACACTCTAGTCAAGCTTATAAACATACTAAGCAACACATATCAAACTTATTTCTTCATGACAGTTCTGTCTGGACTTTGTTTTCCATTCTCCTCCTGTCTGTTCACATCCTGCTATTCTTCAATACCTTCTTGAAACATTCTCAGTGTAATCTCCTAACAAATAATTATCCATATGTATAATTTCTTGCTTAATTGTATACTTCCTCATATTGTTTTCTGATTGTTTTCTTTGCCAGTATATTTACATGCAGTCTGTTAACCCATTGAGGGTTTGTTATATTTGTGTAAGCCCAAATTTTGAACACAACATTAGCACATGGGGGATTACTCAAGAAATACTTATTGATTTTTTTCATAACAACATCTAAGCCTAGTATTTATTAATAAATTTACATATGGAATTTATTATTTAGGGACTTAGCCATAATAATGTTCTTGTGTAAAAGTTATGTAATTTTTTTTTTTCTCATGAGAAGGTAGTATATTTGAGTGGATGGAATAATTTTGTCTTTTTGGGTGGTCACAATGATCATTTTAGATTAAGAAACTAGAGAAGAAATGAATATCTCAGAAATGAATAACTGAACACTTCAAACGAAGGAAAAATGCAGAAAAATGGTAGAGACCATAACCTACCTAGAGTATTTAGTAGTCACTAGTTCAGCCAATAGATGTTTTTGAAACATTTATTATGGTTTAGTTTCTTTCTTCTACTGTTCATTTTGATTGTCCAAAGGGAGCAGATTAAACATATGGCTCATTGATTCAACTAACCCAGACTTACTGAGTGTTTATTGTATGCCAGCTACTGTTATGTTTTGGAGGTACAGAAATGAACAAAATATACCTGCTGCCTCAAGGAAGTTACTTTTATGGGATAACTATATTTATAAGCAGACAGTCAGGTGTACATGTGGGGCTCTGGCATATAGAAGAGAAGGACCCAAACCAAGATTAGAGTTGGTTGACTAAGTAAGGTTCCCAGGAATTAGAATCTCTTAAGTGAGTTTTAGAGGATGAATAAAAGTGGACCAGGCAGATAATTTACTGAAGGATGTGTTGGGGGTTATTTCAGAAGAACCCGCTAAGTAAGGTTCCCAGGAATTAGAATCTCTTAAGTGAGTTTTAGAGGATGAATAAAAGTGGGCCAGGCAGATAATTTACTGAAGGATGTGTTGGGGGTTATTTCAGAAGAACCCACTTGCCAGAGGCATAGAGGAATGGAGAACATGGTGAATGTAGATGAATGTGAATGTACAGGTCACATGTAGGGTGGATGATGAGTCAGTCCAAAGAAGTTTGTTGGAAGTGGAATCTGAGGGGCTTGTTTTCCATGCTGTGGAACTTGTATTCCCAACTCCCCCTAACCCCCTTGAAGGTGATAGAGGGGTAACCTGGAGAATTTGAGTAGGGAAGTGACCTGCTATTCAGCTATTCCTGTTTAAAAGCTCATTCTGGGGGCAGCTGGGAAGGTAGCTGTGATTTAAGCTGAGACTTCTGTTAGGGCATAGAAAAGGATCAGGGCCTAAGGGTCAGCCATGGTATTAAGAATGACTGATAGTTACTTAGGTTGAATTAATAGGACTGTGGATGGAATATGCAAGTAAGAAGGGAGTGGCCTCTCAATACTAGGTTTAGGCAGCTGGGTAGAGCCCTTCACTGAGACAGATAATTCAGGAGGTGGGGCAGGTTTTAGGGTGTTGAGGAATTCAGATTTAGTCCTGTTTGTTTGATAAGTCTGAGTGACAAGGAGTAGAAATATAGACATATAAACTAATATTTGGATTAAATATGTGATATGCTCTATTCTAAATAGAATTATACCTCACAACAAAGTAAATTGATTTAGAATACTAGCACTTCTGGTATTTTTTCTTATACTCATGATTTTGTTTTATAAATGAAAAATAAAATGACAAACTTGAGAAGCCTAGATATAATATGTTTCAGATTCTAGTTTAGAATGGCATTGTTGTACTTTACTTGATAATTTATATTGGTAACTTGGCCTTTAAGCCTTTCTTTTCTTCCTACTTAAGTTTTTATAATTACTATTGAAGGAAAAAGACAAAGGGTCATTATAAGAGAATGACTGCAGAATGGTTTAAAATAGTGGGTGAAGGGTAAAACTGAAAGGTTTTATTAGAAAAGTAAAGTTATTCATGTTTTCACAGGTAACTGAAGACCAAACTAAACCAACAGAGGAAAGTGCGTCTACCTGATAACTGCTAAAAATTTAAATATGTATAGTATAAATAAAATAGAATTTTTAATGTAATATGTGTGTTCTCATAAAGATAAATTTTATTCTAAGATTGATAGTGATCGTAACATTTTTATTTCTCTAAAGGATAAAACAACTTTTAGGTTGCTCACAATAAAAATTTCATGTAGCAATCCCCTCCTCTCCTACTCCATGGATGCAGTACTTTACCATGTTTTCTCCTTTTTTTCTACATATATAAACATATGTGCACATACAACTGTAATATCCTCTGGAATCTGGGTGGAGGATGCCATGCCTCTACTGCTTGCATGTCCTGCTGGCCTTCAGACTTTTTTTTTTTTTTCTCTTTTTTCCATGTCCGGCAACAGATCGCAACCCTCAGTGTCGCCCCCGTACCGGACCGGGACCGGCAACGGGATCGCAACCCTCGGTGTTGCCCCCGCGCCTCGCTCAGCCAGTGAGCGGGAACCGGTCTGTATGTGGGATCCGAACCCTCGGCGGGAGCGCCTCCGCACTTCCCAAGTGGCGCACTAGCGCAGTGCACCACCAGGCCGGCCCTGGCCTTCAGACTTAACGTGGACGCCACCAAGGTTTCGGGCCTCTACTCTCCAGGGCTGCTGCATGAACCACACTTGGGGCTGCTCCAGCCGGAGCAGCTGGGATGCAGGGAGCAGCATCCTGAGGGCAGCTGCCCCCCAGGTCTGTCCTCCAGGATAACTCAGTCCTTCTAGGCCTCAGGGTCTGTGATGGGTGGGGCCCCCTTCCAGACTTCTGAAATGCCTTCAGGGCTTTCCTCTCATTTTCTCTATTATTATCTGGCTGCCTCACTGCCAAGATAATGTCTTTAGCAGCCAGTTTATCTGCTTCACCCTTGCATTGTTCTCCAGCTCTCCGTTTCTTTATAGCATGGCCAGGCTGCAAATTTTCCAAATCTGTACGCTCTGCTTCCCTTTTAAATTCTGGCTTTACATCATGATTTTGTCGCCATAACTCATAGTAGGCTGTTAAAAGTAAACATGAAGCTTCCTTAGTGCTT